GGCGTATACGCAACCTCAACTCAACTCAACTCACAACTAAACGTACATACATAGTATTTCTTACCATCACGCCCTCACTCGTTTCGCCCCTCTGCCGCACCCTTCTACGATGCGATTCAGCTAGACAGCGCAATCATTCAAGGCAACGAGCGAAAATATTTATATTCATGTCGCGGTGTTTCGAGTGGAATTGCAATGACTGTCCGTCGCATGAACGAACACGTGTGTGTGTGTGTTTATTTGGTCTGTGTCGCAATCAGAAACGTGTTAAGAAATCTTTCATGTACCACTTGCTTCAGCTTTAGCTTCAATTTCAGCTATAGCAGCAGATGCAGCTTCAGCTTCGACCGTACACACACACACCCTCATTCGTCGCGTCAAGTTAAGCAACCAGCCAGCGTGCGATTTGGACGTGCAATCTTTGGCCAGCTACCATTGGCGCAGCGTGAAATGGACTTGACCGTTCATAGTTTTTTTCGCTTCATGCTTGTGATTTGTTTTTCCATTTCTTTTTTTTTTTTGTCGACTTTATTCTTTTATTTTTGTGCTTCCCTTTGTTGTGCTACACGCTCGTATTAAATGTCATTTCACATTTCGTGACAAGTTGGCTAATCTGACTGGAAAGTTATTTATTTCGCCTCGCTGCATCGCACAAGCGCCAGCACAACGCCTCGTCGATTCCTCGCAAGTCCTCATCTAATACTTAGGTACATTTTGTATATGCTCTGCTCCTCATCAGGTCACAATAATATCGTCGTAGTAGTCTTAGTCAATCGCATTTGCGACATTATACTGCTTTCTTTACTGGATTTTTTTTTTGTTTTTTGGTCATCGCACGTCTGCTCCTAAAAAGCACTCCTTCTTAGTCCCAAAACCCTTAGAGTCTGCCACTTACCAAGCACTTATTATGTATGTACATATTTTCTATATGTATGCATGAAGGAGAGAGTGGTTTTAAAAAATTTCGTATGCTAGCTGCATTCGTGTTTTTTTTTTGTTCTTCCTTTTTGCTCATCTTTCTTCGTTGGTCTCTATTTATTTCCACGCCAACTTACGTATACAACTCTGTAGAAAAATTGCATTCTATTAAATTTATGGATTTCCATGCAAATTTATATAGTTCACTTTGATATTTTGCACTTCCTCAAATAATAAAAACAGTTATTAAAGAAAAATATATCAAAATTAGAGGACAGTGGACTTTTTTTGCAGTCACAAATTTGCGTTGAACTGAGTTTTTACATGTGATGCTTCTTCTTCTTCTTGCCGCATCGGGCCGAGACTAAGGGTACGTTCGCACAGAAAGAACAGCGGCGCTGAGTGGAGCGAAGCGGAGCTTCTGGTATTCACACTGAATGAGGAAGCGGATATTTGTTCCATTTTAAATTATTTTGACTTTTTTGTTCGCAACAGCTTCATGAAGCTCCAGCTTCAGCTCCAAAACGCTTTTGAAAAAGTTTTCTGGATGAACACTTTCATAAAGCTACACTTATTTGAAAGCTGCGCTTGGCTCGGAACGCTTTCGCTCCGCTTGGCTACCCTAAGGGCACATACAGACAGAAATCGAAGCCGGGTCGCGCTGCGCCAAGTGGGGGAGGAAAATAGTTGTCGGAAAAAGAATTTTCATTCGACTATTTGGAGTTTTGTTCACAGCAGCGTTTCTGCGATGAAAAATCAGAAAGAGAATTCAGAATTAAAAAAAGCTTTGCCTCCTGCTTTTCAAGTTATTACGAAGCCCTGAGAAATACTTTTTTGCAAGTGCAATTCTCCACTTGATCTCCAGGCTTCCGTTATAAGTGGTGTTAATGCTGGAACCTAAATAGAAAAAATCAGAAAGAGAATTTAGAATCAAAAGAAGCTTTGCCTCCTGCTTTTCAAGTTATTACGAAGCCCTGAGAAATACTTTTTTGCAAGTGCAATTCTCCACTTGATCTCCAGGCTTTCGTTATAAGTGGTGTTAATGCTGGAACCTAAATAGAAAAAATTCTTACCTACTTCATAATTGTAACTTCAGATAGTGACGTGTGTCCCGATACGCGAAGACTTTTTGTTTGTTGCCTGGAGCTGCTCTGTATTTTGCTCGTTCGCCGCGAAACCAACCGCATTTGCCTCTTTCTCTCAGCTGAAAAATTATGTGTTGACTGCCCTAAATAGTACTGATGTTTAGACCGACGATGTAGATGACGTCTGCCTGTGCCGGCTTTACTATACTATACGGCACCGCTACGGCCGTTCGTATTATGCTTTCCACCATCGGATTGTAGTAGTCATGCGAGTAAATAGCCCTGTCTCAAACCCACTTTAGTCTCGAGCTCTCCGGTGAGGTCATTCCCATTTTAAACGGAGCTAAAAGTTGTGCTCACAACAGTATATATAGGCGTATAAGTTTTACTCTTATTCCACGGCTTCATAGGACAGTTTTTCTTTGTGCTGCTTTCGACGAGCAGGTTGTCTGTATCAATCTTAAGTCTTTTCAAGCATTTGAAGAAATGTTAGAATCTGTTCAATGGTGGAATTTACTAAGATTGAAGCTACACTGATAAGCGCCAAACAATTGATTCGGGATGGTGTCTTTAGTTTTTCACACATTATTGTCCATAGGACCCTGTGTGGCAGGTCACATGGTAATTTGCACAAACAGCAACATTTCCCTCTTCGTGTATAGGGTAAGGCACCCTCAGATCCAAGACTTCAAGCATGGTTTCATAAGATCAAACACTGTTGTTGTAACAGCATACAAAGAGTTTTTGGGTAAAGATGCTAGAGTGACAGTCCTTGGCCAGACATATGTAAATCTAGATAAATCCGGTAACGTAGACCTGATTGTCGTGGGAACGCATCGTCTGCATCGCTTTTCAAAAGTATTGAGAAGTGTTCCCTTTATAGCTTAAGTAAGTGCACTCTAGGCGTCCGCTTCTTCGTCATTGCAGAAACCAGCAACGGTCTTGAAATCATTTGGATTGCTGCCTAATTTCCTGATAAAATTTTCCAGCCGTATTCCGGCATCTCAATCTCTTCGCATTAACTCCGTAGGCGTAGGGCGTAGAGTCGCATGCAGACTTTAGCTGCATCATGGTAGTGATCTGACTCGAAGTTGGTTCCTAGGATGGAACGCATGTAAAGAACTCTCGAAGCAGACCCCCAACCAGCTTTGTGAATCTTTCGATGCTGATGTCTGATACTACTAACTGTCTTATTCCGTATCGCGACAAAGTCGATGAGCCGCTCTCCATTATCATTGTTGTCAGGAAAGCTGAATTTTCAAGCTATTGAAATTGTGGCAACTCGTTGACTGATGGTGGTAAACCTGAATACAAGTTGTCGGAGTCTTAACAGAGTCACAAAGCCAGCACCGAATCTGTTCGCCATCGTATCGTATCAAAGGTTTCACACTTTTTGCAGTCATTCCCCATCCATGCACCTTCGACGCTTCTGCGAGCACTAATGCCATACCTGGCGCTTAGACTAGATTTTTTTTCACTTTTCTTGGAACATTCAGATCTCATCTTTAATATATCTTTAAGCTATGATACTAAGTGGTTAGGAGACTTCTTTCTCCCCTCTAGGTGATAAAATTTTCCTTTAAAGAACGAGGAGGAAAATATGTATATATCCTCATTGTAAAAAGGATGCTTCCTTCTCCTAACTCCTGCTACACATAATTCAACTGTGTGTGAGTTCTCATTTTTTTAACATTTTGATTGTTGAATTATTATCGCATTCGCCACAAGAGACATTCCATTGTACACACACATAGAAACTGCCTTATGTGAGCACATTAATTTTCAGCCGCCAAGCAACCAACTACAATACCATCCTAAGTAGTTGTGAATTGCACTACTGACAGGCGGGAACAAGCCACTCAAACAAATTTAGTGCACAAATACATAAACACTTGCACGCGTGCACTTGTGATCATGTCACATAGCATTTTGACACATGTGTGCGGCTTTGTAGTCTGCCACACAATGCTAACTATGTGCATTAGGGTGTCTCACTAAAAAAAAAGATGCGAAAAAAATGTATCGACGGGAATAATGAAACTTACTAAATTTTGAAGCTTCTGTCCCAGTTTTTCAAAAAAGTAGTAAGATTTTCGTGAGCTGAAACGATTTCAAAATATTTTCAAAAACCTGAATGTTTTGATCTCGTTGGTAAATTTTTTAAACAGTTTTGTGCCTTTTAAGCTTCAATTTTTTTATTAACTGATGGAGTTTTTTTGAGAAAATATTTTTTTTTTTTAGTTTTATTTATAAAAAAAAAAATCGATTTTTTGAGTTATTTTAATATTGGTCCAGCTCACGCAAATCTGAATATTTTTCCGTAATATTTAATATTTAATTTTATTTTATTTTTTTTATGGAGGGTGGCGCACTCTAATGTATATATACAAGCAGCAACGCGCAGTCAGCTACTTAAGAAGACAAATTGATGTTAGGCGTCTTGAGAAATGAAAATGCTGGTGCCAGTTGAGCTGACTACGACGCTTGCTGACAGTCAGCAAAAGCGCGCTGGCTTTTTATCGAGAATATAAAGAAATAATCGACATTTTCTCTATGTTTTTTTGTGCCTCTTCTTATTTTCTCGCTTGAAAACGCGCGTGTGTATGCTCATGAGCATAATTTACTTCGGTAATTTATTAACTTTACTCTGCCGCAAATATGTAAGAATGCAGAAAATATGTATGTACGTATGTACGTAAGCCTGGAGCGTGCAAAGTATTCCAGTACTTATATTAATAGCTTAGCGCTCAGCAGGCAGGCGGTGCTGGCAGTGCAGATGCTCATAAGCTTTACCACAACTATTTGCTGATTTGGCAGCGAAATTATTATTATTTTTTTTTTTGCTTTAATACTCAAAAAAAAACTAGAAATACGCTGAGTTCATTTAAGCACCACTACCATTTCTATACCACTCCTTTTTTCACATACAATTTTTCTCAAAAAATTTTCCATTTACTTACGTTCCCTACTTTTATTTTCTAATCTACTTACAGGGTCGTTGTAATCGTGATAAACCGCCGTGCAAATATTTTCATCCACCACAGCATTTGAAGGATCAATTATTGATAAATGGACGAAACCATCTTGCCTTGAAGAATGCACTGATGCAACAGATGGGTATGGCAACTGGACAGCAAGTCATACCGGGACAAGTGCCAGCAGTGGTGAGTACTTAGAAAACTAAACAAAGGATGAATGAAAGAAAGAGTAGAGTGGAACAGTGATTTGCTAGTATAAATGCATTCATATGACTATCAAGCAAAAAAGAGGAACAACTTTAACGCACTTATTAGATGGGAAGTGTATAAAAAATGTTTGCATAGTGAAAAAAACCTAAGCTGCTGCATCTTGTGCGCTGATATAATTTTTCATAAATCATTGCATACTTTTGGTATAAGTACATTGCTGTGGTCTAAGCTGCAATGTACACATAAAATTTTAATGAGGTAGACAAGTGATTGCTCTATACATATATGTATGTACATATGTAGTAGTGCTTCGATAACTTGTGGGGGCATTGTGCAAGCAATGAAGTAGATAATTATGAATAGGGGAAGGCATTAAGAAGTAAAAAAGTTAGAAGAAATTATTCAGCACTGTGAAGTATGAAAAAAAAAACCTGATGGCGCAAAAAATACAAGTTTTTTTACGATGAGTTCATTAATATAGAAAATGAGGAATTTAAATATTATTAATAACGCAATTAAAATGTGAAAAGGAGGCCACTACTGTGCAATGCTGTAAGGGAAAACCGCGCATCCATATGTATTTCTGGCAGGAAATACTGCCGTTTTTTCATTTGTTGGAAAAAATTACGCTACACTAAAAACTGACGCATCACTGGCATGGTGAGAACAACACCGACTGCGACTCTCGAGGTGCTTCTTGACCTGTCTCCCCTACGGATTGTAATCAAGAAAGAGGCTCTACTATTTACAGCAAGGCTCATCTCAGCTTTGTGGACCAGTGCCTTCCGAGATTTAACTTCACACAAAACTTCAAGGTTTTTTCCCCCGACAGGAATAACTGGCACAACGAACAACCCAAACCCCGGAGAGACAGCCACATCTGGTATACTGACGGCTCCACGACCAACCGCAGCGTAGGAGCAGGAGTTTACGGCATACAACCCAGACTGCTCCTTTTCACCAGCTGGAGCAAGGTAACTCTGTCGTTCAGGCCGCGATTCACGCCATTTAACTATGTCTGAGGCAGTATGTAGAAAGCGGGGCTACCAAAAAACACATCGATTCGCGATCCATAGTATACCACAGCCGTAAGAAATGGCCTACTGAACAACCGAAGCGACCGTGAAAGCTCAAGATCTATGCCCACTTCTCCAGACAAGGCCACTCAAGCACTTGGAATCTGTCTTTCTCACCTGCTTGGCAGAGTTACCGGAAGTGAAACTATCGGACCTTTTTGAATTTGAAATAGACACTATAAGTACATTTTAGTAAAAATTCCGATTATAGAAATGTGCCTCCTCCAGTCACTAATAGAAGACATTCACCTTCGAGTGAAAGTTTGGAAACTTCATACACGCCTGCCTTCCTTACCTAAGCTAACTCTGAAAATATCTTAGTATACCAGTATATGAGGCTATCTCAGTCTTATATCTAATGGAAAAATTTTTCGTTCATCTGTTAGTAAATAATTGCAAAAATTTTTATAAATTAGAAGTCATCAGCTCTGTTCAAAAGAAATTTGTTTTACAAGTTGAGAAATTACTCAGCAAAACTTAACTTAAACTTAGAAGGTGTTAAATTTTTAATCAGTTATAATCATTTCTTGTCATTTTCCCATAAACTCTATTAGTTAAACAAAATCTTGATTTATAAAATTGCATTAACGCTAGATATCCTTAAAATTTGATGTATAGTCAATCAACAACGAAAAATATACAAAAGCATTTCTTATTACTCTCCGAAATAATTACACAAAATGAAAATAAATTTGAAGTAACAGTCACGTTCGCCTCACCAAAAGAGTACGAAAAGGTTGTACACCCCACCTACAATTTTTTTTTTAACGTTCACTCTAATGGGTTATAACAGCCCTTTTGCCATTCAAAATGCGCTACTATTAACTGACATTGTTATTAAATGATAATGATGGATTTGTTATTCATCAGCGCGGGCGACAACAGTACAGTTATTCAAGCGAGCGCTAGCAGGAGCAATGAGTCATTTACATACATACACAGTTAACAAATTAAGGAGGGGTTGGGTAAGCAAGTGCGCACAGCTAAAAGTTGATGGTAGTACTTAGTTGTCAAAAGCCATACACAGTGGAATGGGCTGTTGTAGCAGCTTTTTACCAGCATTTGTCTTCAACGCCACGGCGGCAGTTTATTATGAATTTTAATTTAAATGTGAGTACATACATAAATACATACATATTTCCACATTTTCCGCTCATCAACTCAGCAGACAACAAACTCCGTTGGTGAATGGTTGGAGGAAGAGTGTTGAGTGAAATGGCAAGAGTAATGTGAAAATGCGCAGCTGTCATTCAGCTGTTGAAATTTTAAATTAATATGACGCATTCCAGCGCAAAAAATAATTTTCAAATGGCCTTTTTCGATACTTTTTTGAAATGGAGTTTGAGAGTGGGAAGTTAGTGGTGGCAAATGTTAAGAGTTTGAGACCTAGTTAGAACAGGTTGTACGGAAATTTTCATTAAGTAATTTAAAGTATTTTACGCAATCAGTAAATTGAACAAAATTTATTTTAATTTTCTTTAGTTTGAACCGAATGGAATAANAGTTAAGAGTTTGAGACCTAGTTAGAACAGGTTGTACGGAAATTTTCATTAAGTATTTAAAGTATTATACGCAATCAATATATTGAACAAAATTTATTTTAATTTTCTTTAGTTTGAACCGAATGGAATAAGTCACAATCACATCGATGGCTTTTATTCCATACAACCTATCTCATATTTCACAAAACCTAGTCTCTGTTGTTAGAACCCATCTGTGACCTAACTGCCAGCACTGATGCCAATTCTAAATTTGCAATCCAATAGTAAATTCATTAAACAAGCGATGTACAAGCTTAGCATTAACATCTTCGAAGAAAGTTAAGACTTAGGTGGACTTTTATTCCAAAATCAGGGATCCGGACTTTTACAAATTTTATAATAAAAGTTCATAGAAAAATGATATTTTTGGAATTATATTTTATGTTAAACAAAATAATCAGTCAACCCGTTATTTTTTATAGTCCAGCAACAGTAACAGTTAAATTTGGCCGAAGTAAAAGTCCTTTCGTAATATTAAACAATCCGCTTTCAAACTGAAATATCTAAATGAAGAATGTCACCTAATGGAAAATATGTGAATCAAAAATGTTATTTAATTATCATAGAACAAAGTTTGGGTCAGGTATATGAATTTTTTTTGTCTTAAGTTTAAAAAATTTATATAAATACATAGGTGGTACCTTTCGTTTAGATATTTCTGTTTGAAAGCTATTTTAGTTCTCAGTCATTTGGTATCAAATTTGCTTAATTTGAATACGTTGTTTGTTTATTATTAGCAAAGGAGTTTTATTTCGCCCTAAAAAAATTTTTGGCCCAGTTTAACTGTTATTACTGGAGTTAGAAATAAAAATGCAGATTTTTCAGACTTTGGACTTTTTCCCAAAAAGTTCGAAAAAGAAAAAATGTGCAGGAGGTCCTTGGATCTAAGGAACATTGATAACTTTTTTCCACGGCAATATTTTGTTCCGAACTTTTATAACATCGACAAAATAGTAACTGTTACTTTCGGTCGCTGATCAAAATATCACTGTTTCCCTAATAATTATTAAATGCATAAGTATGTACACCTTTTTGTGGCCGTATTTATAAAAATAAATGCATAAGCGTGCATAGAAATATATATATTACATGTACAGTGAGTCAAACAAGTTTTCAAATGGTAATTTTTTTTAATAGTCACAATGGTTTTCAACTAAGAATTTTTTTTTGTTTTTTTTTTATAAATATTTCTCATGCTTCAATCAAAACCATATATGTACATAAATGCAAGTTTCAAACTTTATACAAAATTAAGACAAATTCTAAAAATTTCCACACAACTTTCGAACGTTCCTATATGAGCTTTTAACACATTTTTGGGAATGCAATTTTATAGCCCATAAAACTTTACTCTGATAAAGTGCAAATTTCAAACCACTAAAACTTCGCTGAAATTTTTAATGAAAATTTTTTTAAGTTTTCTAAATTTTTTATAAAGTTGGAAATTTTGATTTATATGGTGGAATTTTGACAGAACTTTTGTGCTTGCTGTAGGTTGGAATTCAGAGAAGAAAATAGTTGTTTTGTCAATTGTCCACAAATATGGTTATGAACTACTTTTTTATATAAAAATAACAAAAAATCTTACTTAAAAATCTTTGTGTATACATATTAAAAAAAAGAAATAAAAATCAGCATGTGAACACTTGTTTGAGTCACTGTACATGCTACATACAACCCATTGTATACCTAAATACATACCTACATAGTTACAAAAAAGTGTAGGACGATTGGGTCACACAGCTGGCCGCTCCTCTCATGCATATTCATTAAAATCCAACTTAATACTCTGCGGTGTAAATTTCCATTAGCAGTTGTCAGCGAAGTCTTTGTAGAAAAGCAACAGTTAGTAGAATGACTGTTTGGTTTAGCGAAAATGATTGAGTCCAGTGTTTAATATGCAAAATATGTCTAAAAATAGCAAGAAAATTCCAAAAGCATTAGTGCAAGAGACAACCACGGAAAATGAGAAAAAAGCGTCATATCGCATTAAAATAAATTAAATTAATTTAAATTAAAGAGAGTGAACTGAAAAAAAGGCCTACAATGGAAATCCAAGTGGCTTAAATTGTGCTTTAGTGTGTCTTTAAAGCGTGTTCTACTCTACATACAAAGAATTGTCTATTCGTCTTTTGTTCGTTAATTTTTATTATTTTTTTTTTTTTTTTTTCAACATTTTTCCACCAAATGATTATTTCCATCTTTTTCCCTTTCTCTTTTTTTTTTGTTTCTTCCCATTTTCTTTCCCTTCAAACTCATAGCCTCTTGTCTTATATTCGCAGGCCACAAATCCCTACTTAACTGGCATACCAGCCAATCCATACCCTAGTCCATATTATGCGCCTGGAACTTTAGTGCCTGCATTACTCGGACCGGATCACACACAATTGGGTCAAGTGGTGCCACAAACGGTGCAAGTAGCACAACAGAAAATCCCACGTTCCGATCGATTGGAGGTGAGTTCAATGTATTTCAAGCTTAATTTTATGCCTTTTTCGTATTTTTAGAAGAAAAGAAAGTGTTCAAAAAACTATGAATACATAATTTTGTTTTTGATAATTTAACTGCTTTTGTTTGTTCGTTATGAGAAGCAATTAACAAACAAAAATTAACTTTTTTTTACACACTAATTTTAAGTATATCTTAAGATATTTTATTTGTTAAGTGTTCTAAATTTTTGTTTTGCGCGTTCTTTTACTGTTGGGTTTTCTTTCAAATTATTTATGAGTATTTAAAGTATTTTATTTAACACGAAATTAGCATGAGTATTATTATATGTATGTTTTATGTTAACACTACCTTATCTGTTGTGTGTGTTATTTTTAATAAATTTAATTTTTTCTCTCTTATTTTTGAAATTTTGCTTCATTTTTGTGTTTATGTTAAAAAAGGGCACAGGTTTTAGCCACATAAGTTTTAAATCAATTTGCTCGAATTTTTATAGCAAATTTTATATGCCATATCTTACAATATTTCGTAAAAGATTTTTACAGATCTAGCATAATAAAATAATTTCTGAGTTAACATTTCCTATAAACTTCCAAACAAGTTTTTATAACGCATAGTTTTGAGGCCTATGTTTTGAATAAATTGTTATAGCTAGTTTTTCTATGCCAGTTATTAGAAGTAGTATTTGAATAAGAATTTCAGGCTTCAAAATTCCAAGCTTTGAAGTTACAGGTTGCTTAGTTCTTATTTCTATTAAAAAAATGTGCTTACTACGCACTAGTTAAAAAAAAATTTAAATTTTAGCAAACAAACTCCTCTGCTATAATTTTTATAGCACGTCAAAGAGATAAGCAAATTCTATAATTTTGCAACTACAAGTTTGCAGCGATTGATTTACTCAGAATTTGACTGTTAAAAGCTTCTGCAAGGTTGCTATAATTTTATAGCAAGTCAAAATTAGCAAAAAAAAACAGGTCATAAACTTCTATGTGTTTAAGGTACACAGTTTTTTACTCAATATTTGAGTACAATGAATTTCAAAGCTGCTATAATATTATATACTCATATTTCTTTCGGAAGTTAGGTGTAATAAATGACTTAGCACAAAAATCTTGTTTTAGAATTGCCTAATTTTATAGTAAGTGAAAGAGCCCAAATATTATGTCACATTACCTGGGGAAGTTTGAAGCAATAAATTTTGTCATAATTTAAGCACAAAATCCTGGTTTTAGAGTAACTATATTTTTATAGCAACATCTGAAGATGTGCGCAGTGAAAGTTTCTCTAGTTTCATTTGTAGGAAAACAACTTTTCTTGTTTATTGTATTGAAATTCCAAAGCCATTGCAAATAAACAATTCTGGGGAATATTAATTTGACATTTGATTTCATCTTCGAGTTTCTATTCACGTTTTAACATTCGTTTATTTTTAAATCCTATATTTTTGAAAAGTCAACACAGTAAATAATTTTTTTTTTCGTTTTGTATGCATATATTTTTCTATTGACAAAAAAAAATTTTTTTTTTCATAGACAAACATTTTTATATGAAAATACATAATTAAGTTATAACTTATAAAAATATATTTTTTGGTGAAAATGGAAATTATTTTAGGGGTTTTAGCCAACGAATTAATCACACATTCGTAATTTTTCCAAATTTAAATTATAAATTTTAAACTTTGTATAAAAAAAAATTTTTTGCAATGTTCTTTTTTTAATTATTATAATGGATATTTTTTATTATCGCCATAATAATACCCATAACGAAATTATAATGATTTGAAGTATGTACTTAAAATTTGTTTGTTGATTTTTTGTTTTATTGCAATCAAAAATTAATCCAGATTTTTTTCCTCAAAATCTAGAAACGTTCTCTTTCTATTCATTTCTTTTTTATTTCAAAAATTATTTCGAAATCTGCTGCTTTTTAACCAACTCTTATTTCTTTTTGGAAAATTCTCCTTATTTCTCAAACACTTGCGCTCGCTCGCCGCGCTCTTTTGCTGCAAAAAAAAAAAGTGAACCCAAAATTTCATTTTGCTAAAATGCCTTGCTCTGCGCGCGTTTTCCCTTTTACACCACACGAACAGCAACGCAAAATGGTTTATGCAAAAAAAAAACGAAACAGCAGCAAACACGTTCTTAACAACATTTTTTTTTCAACTTCTCTTTACAATGTATTTTTTCAAAATGTTATTATGTGTAAATAGAGCAAAAATCCGATGTGGTAAAAATTAAATTTTTAATACTTGTAAGGAATTTTTACGAACTTCATTGGAAATTGATTAAAAAAAGATTGTTAAGAAACCTTGTAACTCGTTGAATCTTTCTTAATAGATTTGTTTGAATCATTTTTTTATATTTTATTTTTATTCACGGCCCTTTGGGTTATTTTTTTTTTAAGGTCGAATTTATTGAGAAAAATATGTCATTGAAAAAAAATAGATTTTTTAATGACTTTTTATTTGGGTTTGAATTATAAAAATTTTCAAAAATGTAGTTAAACTCATTAACCAAAAAAAAATTGGTAAAAAAATCGGGAAAATATGCAAGTAAACGTAAACAAAAACTCAATTTTCAGTATCATTTTTATTAAAATGTTTCTCTATTTTCTTATTATTATTTTGACGTAATAAGTTTTATTTGAACAACATTACTGATACACTAATTTTTATTTTTGTACTTAAAAAAATAAATAAATAAATTGAAAGCATTAAGTGCTGACTATTTTTCTATAATTGACTTTTGTTAAAACTAGGACAACGAAAAATTTGTTTATCAAAAAAAAAAAATATGGAATTTGAAAAATTTTAAATATTTGATATTTTGCAAAAAATGCTTTTTATAAATAAACTTAAGTAATAATAAATTTAAGTATTCAAATTTTTTCCTTAAACCAACGCATTTTCGAAAAATTTTGGAAAAATTTAATTTACAATTACAAATTGTTGAAGTCTTAATTTCTGTATGTACAGCAATAAGAATTTTTAACGCAAAAATAGCGCATTTAAGATCAAATTTTTTCTTTTTTTTCCAAAACTTTTTTTATGTATAATTTAATTTTGCATTTCACTTTTTTATGTGGCATTTTTGTGTATTGCTTTTGTTTTGTGTTCCTCGATATTCAACTAATTCGCTGTGATTGAATTTAACGTTTACAAAAACTGCAGAAAAAAATAAATAAAAAGTAAAAATTTGCTTGCCGACCAAAATCGCTAAGCAGATCCGTCTGTAACTCCTAACCATGCGTGTACAATTTGCTGCTGCGCCAACATTTAACACGCCGTCGAAGTTGTCAAAAACTCACCGCAACCTTTTATTTAAAAAAATATGAAAACAAAAAAGCAAAAATGGTAATACGTACTGTTGGCATGCAAATTTGAAGACAACTTTTTACTCACAAAATAACCGCTGCGTTTGAAAGCAAATCTAATACAAAAATTTATAATTTCTTAAAGTGCCTGAAATTATACTGAACAAAATTTATTTCCTTCCATTATTTCCTCCCAACCACCAACAAAAATAAAAATAAAAAAAAATTTAAAATCAACAACCAACACCAACACAACCACAATCGCCACCAACAATTTCGACTACACCGACACCTACAAAATTATTACCACCACCAACACCACCACCAAAAATCAAACAACAACAACACCCGCTACAACAACTGCAACAACTATTGCAATAAATTGCATACGCAACTGCAACTGCTACCAACTGCTGGCCATACTGCCCAATTGCTGCCTCTGCCTGTGCTGCCGCCAACGCCGCTGCCTACCACCGCTGATGCAACCACACGCCACCAACTACGACAAACTATCCACCGCTGCCAACGACACCAACCAACCAATCTATCTATGTATCTATCCATCGACTTGCCAAAAAAAATGATGCGCCAACGCCTACGCATATGCAATGAAAATCCATATGAAAATGGGCTATGCAAAACAAAATTCTTATTTGGAAATTAAAAACCGCGCTACAACAACTTCGTCAACTGGACAAAAAAATGCAAATGAAATGAAAAATCAAAAAATGCGAAAATTCGAAAATTCGATCCGCTTTTTGTAGGTTTGCCGTGAATTTTTGCGCGGCGCCTGTAAGCGCGCCGAATCGGAGTGTCGTTTTGCGCATCCGCAGGATAGCGTCGCCCGGCATGATGACGGCTCGATCACGGTGTGCATGGATGCTGTGAAGGGCAGATGCACGCGCGAACCATGCCGCTACTTTCATCCCCCTTTGCACCTGCAGGCACAATTAAAAGCGGCGCAAACGCGCGCCACTGCTGTCGCTACTGCGGTATGGCTAAATTGTTCTTACAAATTTTACAATAATGTTATGAATTATTTTAATTTAATTTAATTTCAAGAAGAATAACACAAAAATTTTGTTTATTTTTTATTTTGTACTAAATATTATTGTGTATCTAGCCAAACAGTAAATTAAATATGAATGAGCCAAAGTTTGTATGCTAAAATAAAACTGCAATTTGCTGAAGTGTGGTTGTTGCAAGTGATAGAGTTTGGCAAACAAAAGTTGCTATAAAATTGCTACAATCCTTAATGGCACGTAAACTCTCCACTAAAAAGGAATTGATATTTTTTTGTTAAAATTACGTTCAAAACTACAAATTTCCCTTTGCCATAAACTTGCTATAATATTCATAAGCAATAAAAATGAGAGAAAAATGCAGCCTGTTTGTTTTTCTAACGAATTTCAAACGACTATTGCGCTTTTTTTGCACAAAAACTTGCTATAATTTTTTTATAGCAACTAAATTAGTAATAGCAACTAGTTAGTAAATTAGTATATGTAACGTAGGAGAGCAATTTTCGGGAGGTTTGCTAAAATATTTATAGGAAAGTAGCTATAATTTTTTAGCAAATAAATAACTACAGGTACTTTGCATAAAGTTACTTCTGAAACACACAATCAGATATGTGAGCATTTAAGTGTATGCAGCTTTTATAAGTCGCTATAATTTTTTATGGCAAATCGAA